AACCAATCACAATCTTAGAAAAAGAGGGAGATTGGCCGCAACCTACGTCCTTCTCTCTCATTTTCCTCGACCAACATATCCTATACCACTTACTGTAGTTATACACGGATCGCGCAGTCCATTCTCTATGTCTTTGGTAAGAACCAACCAACTGCAATCGAGCATTCCCCTGTTACAATGACAAGGGAATGCTCGACTGCAGTTGGTTGGTTCTTGCATTCTGACTCGGATCGAACCCTCGGAGTAAATTAGATCATAGAGAATGTACTGCGCGATCCGTATCTAAGGCTGCTTTCCTTTTAGGAGACACAGTCGACACACTTGACACAAATCGTCATATGTCGCTTTCCATTTACAATTTTGTTCAAACTCAATCGACATACTTCGCCACTGCTCGGGAGGAGAGTCAGAGTGTGTTTCGAGTCTGTTTAAGTGTGATTTTGATGAATTAAGTGATTTTAGAACGCACCCGCAAACTAATTTCTATCATTTTGTTCTGTTTTCAATATCTGGAGACACGGTAGCGTCTTAAAGAAATAATAAAAATCTATATATTTATATTCACATATAAAAATATATGTATTTTTTATTTCTTTACTGTTTTTCGAGTTTATATATTAAACATTGCATTGTTGTTAATTTTCCTTTAAATATCACATTATTTTTATAACATATTTATATTTTTAGACCATATGTTTGAGAAACTCAATCAATACTAGAAATTTAACTGCCTATTAAGGAAATCAGGACGCTCGTACGGTTATCAGGACGCTCGTACGGTTTACGAGAGATCCGGATTCAAGTCCCGGCCGAGGTAATATTTTTCGCAATAAATTTATTAACAGTTTTTATATATTAACATCTTTATAATGTATGATGCTTGATGATAGCATCAAATTATTAAATTGCTTGTCAATTTAATTCGCGATTACTAGAGTAGTTTTAATTGTGCATTTATTTAGTCCGGAAAGACAATTCGGCGCGCAGTTAGAAAAAGACTACAATATAGTATATATGCAAGTACATATATAGTATATATTAGTAATTCAAGATTGAATTATTTAAAAAGCAACGAAGATCCAGCTCCGACCGTCATAGGCAGTTAAATTTCTAGTATTGATTATTTTTATATATTTTATTTAAAAAGTAATAAAAATAATAATAAACTTTATTTTTAAAATATATTTTATCTGATGAAAATTATGATTTACCATATTTATAAATACTTGTAAAGTTTAAAAATAATTTTAAAAAGTTTGTAACTTGTAAGATGTTAAATATTTTTTTGAAATACCTCCACCAATTGATACAATATGTACAGTGCGTTGCACGAATGCCTGGGGTTCGATTTTAGAAGTCTAATTTCATTCTTAGTTATTTTTACGTTCACGACTGATACTACCGGATGTTGCATCAGCGATCATGAATATATCGTAGTAAAGTGTGTTTTGACAGTCGACCGACGTAACCTCAGTGACCTCTGCTACACGGCACGCTTTCGGGTTTAATAAAATCCGTAGTTATGAAATTGGCCAATCATAACTTTTCGTCGGGAGAATAGTGTCACGTCCGTAATAGCTTGAAAATTTCTTTCCGAACAGACTTAAGTATAGTCCGACTAGTAAACACGTGCACCAGAGAAGAACGCACCTGACGCTTCTCCCACACCCACCAACGGCACGGTCAATGGAAGGGGGCTTTAGGAACG